AGAATGGAGTATGGGGTTTAGGGTTTAGGGTTCAAGGTTTGGGGATTAGGGTTCGGGCTTTAGGGATAGCTGGAAATTCACCCTAGCAACCAATTCACTCCTGAATTCGTGGAATCTTCCCCATCTTGGGATGCCAGTACATAGCTCAAGGAATATGACTACGACTCGTGTCTCCGAGACAACCGCTGTGCCATGATACTTGCTGCCAAGGTCTTGCCCAGGGCTCCAAATAGCTCAATACAGATCACATGTATGGACCTTGGGGCCCAATGTAGGTACTGTTTCGTACTATCTGCTTCTAGAAATAGAGCTCCGGAGCTGTACAGCTCCGCATTAAGACTGATTGAGCCAAGAGCCTGAATGAAATTGCACATGCTTCATGACTTCAGCTCGCTCCAGGTTCTGCCTGCTATTCCTGTCGCTTCTGCTGTCGGTGCTACCAAGTTTTCTCTGCTACCAAATGTGGGCTACTGGGATATGTTGCTGCAGGGTATACAGAACCCAGAACTTATGCCTTAGGCAACTGAAACTGAAGCCCTGGGGAATTATAACATGAGCTATAATCTAAACTCCTAGTATCCCCCTAATAACCCCTATAGTAGTCCCCTATATGTCCCCACTTTAAGGAGTTTAGACAATAGCTCACATGAGTACTGACACGGTATGGAAGATCCGACGCTCCACTTATCTAAGCCAAGGTTCAGCGCTGTTAGCTGCTGCGTGCTGCCCTCAGAGTCTTTGTAGCCTGCAGGTGACGACAGGGTTGGAAGGAATCATCCAGAGGAATGAAACTACTGATAGGGTTTGGGGGGTAGGGTTTGGGGTTTAGGGTTTGGGGTTTAATCCAGAAAAAAAGAAGTTGAGCAACATAAGGGGGACTCTAACCCCAATAATTATCCCCTATCATAATATAATAGTTTCCATTTTCTTTTCCATTATCCCTATATAACCCTATTATAGTTTCCATTTTCTTTTCCATTATCCCTATATAACCCTATTATAGTTTCCATTTCCTTTTCCATTATCCCTATATAACCCTATTATAGTTTCCATTTTCTTTTCCATTATCCCTATATAACCCTAATAATATACCATTCGAAACCCACAGTGTCAACCTCTCAAGCCTCCGGCAGAGAGTACCGCACTGCCCGTGACGGGGCCCAGTGAATTCAGCGGCTTTACCAGTGCCGCACGGAGCATCCAGTACTTGCCGGCCTTTCTGCAGCGTTGAAATGGCGCACAGGCACACAAACTCTCGGGAAGGCAGTTCAGAGTGCATCGGAATCCAAGACAATCGTCCCACAGGAAAATGGCACTTGGCACTTGTGAGCTCAAGCCCAGTAGTCATCGATTGCATAATCTTTGGGCTCATCCAACAATCCACGCAGCCTCAAGAGCTGGTGGGGCTATGCAACCCTTCGTCCTCAAACTATCTTCAGGGAGTCCATTCTACCACTCGCCGCAGACCGCTTTCAAATCCAAAAGCGCCTCGTCGACCGCTGCCGCACTCTTTGGAGCATCAGGAGCGCTCCTCCGAATAGCATTGAGATGTTTGACGTCTACTTGCGCAATGGTTTGTTGCATGCATGCTGTGAGCTGACTAGCACTGTGAACACTGATACCGATTCCTCCCTGTGCAGTCGGCTTCTCCCGGATTATTGCAGGCACACATGGATCTATATGTCATGGTACAACCCTATATGCCCTATACGTATAACCCTGTATATCGTTATACAACCCTATATGTCACTATACAACCCTGTGTGTCACTTTACAACCCTATAAGCAATATGTATAACTCTATACATCCTTATACAACCCTGCATATGCGCACATAGCACCCATATGTGACTAGACTGGTACGACTGTTACCCAATTCCCAGGCCCTAAACCCTAAAACCCCTAAAACCATAAACCCTAAAACGCCTAAACCTAAATCCCTAACACTCTAAACCTTAAACCCTAAACCCGAAAACCCTAAAATCCTAAACCCCTAAAACCCTGAACCCCTGAAACCCTAAACCCTACTTCTCACGGCGGGCATCTGCACAGCAAAGTCTTTGGCGGTCTCGGAGAGCGGAAAATCTTCGGAGCCTTTGCTTACTGGCGGTTAGTCGGGAATAAGGGAATATAATTTAGGGTTCAGGGTTTAGGGTTATTATCCCTATATAATCCCTGTCCAGGGTTTAGGGTCATATACACATGTATATATATATATATATTTGTGAACCATCATCTGAACTCCTAGTATCTCCCTTAATACCCCCGATAAAACTCCCCTAAATAATCCCCCTTTAAAGAGTTTAGACTATAGCTCACATGTATGAATAGATACCTAAATAACATATTCCCTTGTTATCTACTACCCCCCCAGATCTTCGGAGCCTTTGTGGCGTGCTTGCTCCTCCAGGATCAAGCTGTGCTCCTGCATCTCTTTTGGTGCGTAAAGGGGACGTCAAGGGAGGGATCATAGGTACCATTTAGAGTTTAGGGTTTAGAGGGATGATAGGTTCCATTGTAGGGGGAGTTGATGAAGGATTCTAGGTACAACAATGGGTTTGAGGTTTAAGGCTTGCAGGGATTGATTATAGATTCCATTAATTACAGGCGCATACTTACGATACAAAACTACTTCAAAAGTCCCATGCAGGGGTGAAATTCGTATCTAGGAAGCTATTTTCTATTCACAAGATCTCCTCCATCCCTGCACCACCCTAAACCTCAAAACCCTTTAGGTTTAGGGTTTAGGGTTTAGGGTAAACCTCAAAACCCCAAACTCTAAACCCGACCTGGATCACAGAGGCGAAAACAATGCCACCCAAAGAGGTGGCTGGTCGTGTAGAAGCGCGGCAAGCCACCATGAGCAAGCCCAGTAACAGGGACCTCCACACACGGCTTAGGTTTCTTGGAACCAAAATGTTCCGGCTGCAGCTTAGGGTTTAGGGTACGGCTTTGGTGCGCCGAAGGTTTTTGGACGATCCAGCGCGTGATTTGGTGTATTGTAGACAATGCTTCTCAAGGGTGCATCTAGATAGGTGTCCCTACTTGGAGGGTCAGGGCGACTGAGTAAGTTTACCTATAACCCCTGTAAGCCCCCAAAGTAACCCCAATTATCCCCGTTCTTGACCTACTTACTAAGTCTTAACTTTGCTTTCAGTAATTTGGAGCTTTCTTAATCAAGCACGCCTTAATTCCACAGATGTCCCTGTCTCCAAGGCAACTTCGCTTGGGAAGCCTATTTCGAAAACAAATTGGAAAGGGCAGCCTCAAGCTAAGGATTCCTTTGAGGTATCTCACAATAAGGGTAATATAGGGATAACCAGATATAGGGTCCATAGGATTTAGGGTTTAGGGTTCAGGATTTAGGGCAGATTCCTTGGAGGTATCCCGCAATGCAAGTTGCAAGCGAAGCACATGAGGAGATTTGATTGGAAGACATCGTTGCTCTCTGCCTGGCGGAGGGACGTTCTCTAGCTGGATTCCTCAACCTCCACTATTCAACATCAGATTTTGGGTGATGGTCCTTCACCAAGTAATTGACAGTCTAGTCTCGGGGCCGTATACGCAACACAGGGCAATGAACATCCTGGGGATTTGCTCTGTGAATCTGGTCCCAAGCCCGAAATATCTTTCGGCTGGCTAGTTTCCAGAACATGCACGGCCTCTGGCGAGAGCAATCGAAACATCACCAAAACCAGCGCAGCTGCTATACATACCTGGGCAAGTTAGCTGTCAATTGGAATCGAATCTGTAGTCTTACTGAATGTGGCAAGATAAGCTAGGAATTTGCTGAAATTGTTGATCACTTGTTGTGAGCCAGTCTAAGACCTCAAAGGCCCTCCGACCAGCCCAGTGCATCTTGCACAGGATCGCAGATACTCTAGGATTTGCTACCAACGACAACGGTCATCAAAACAGGCTACCTGACAAGTTCAAAATGTCCGGAAAACAAGCTGGAGAAGCACGGCGCAAACCTTTAAAGGTGGTGTGTTCCTTAAGCTTCCATTCTGATGTCAACGCCTTAGGATGACCCCTCTGCCTGTAATAGTGGTATAGTAGGAATACAATAGGACTCCAATATAGTCCTCATAATCCCTTATAGTCACTATTACAGGGTCGGGGGTCCACCTAATCAACTCAACACCTCTACAACCGACTTGCAGCAAAACAGAGACAGCAGAACAAACGTAGTAACTTCGCAGGCCACCCCGTTGGCGAGAATCCGATGGCGGCTGCTTTGCCGGCATCTATATGGACCAGGATGACACGATGCACCAAGACAAAACCGATATAATATACATGCAGAAATCTCTAGCAAGATTGATCAAAAACCGGAAGCAGCAAACCGCTCTTCAGTTCAGGTCCAGCCTTGCATCGACCACCAACTACACCAAAACTGCAGATCCCTTGAAATTCTCTCAGAATCCGTGGCACCAGAAGCTTTGCATAACTGGCCAGGCCACTAACATTCGGGCTTTCAGCGCAATGAGGCTGACACCATAAATGCCCATATGAGGCCTCACAGGATTCCCGGACTCCGCTGAGGGAAGAGTGTTGTTGGTCCCCTTCCCGTAGAGGATCCAAGTATCCATATGATGAGGGCCCAGGTCCCAAATGCTATAATGTAGTCCCCCTTGAGTAGATAGAATATGCGGTATATGGGGATCTTACCATCATTTACCCAAAGCCATATTCCATCTACTTACGGGGAACTGTAGGTTTGGATGCTTCGGACCCTTAGGGTCCTTGTTGAAGGAGGAAGTTGAGTCACGTGAGCCTTGCGCAACCCTCACACAAACCTCAAGAATTAAGCTGTCCCCTACATATCCTATCCTCTGGAATCCCGCGTTGCATTGTTAATATTGTCATGTCAGTATTGTTATATCACCAATATTCTGGTTCTGGTATTATATTATGTACCCATTATCGCTAAAGTGCCTTTTTTTTCTTATTGCAGTATTGTAGCGTTATTTTGACTTTGCTATTGAGATGCTCCCTGGTCACCTCTCCGCCACCCAGGTCAGGGCAAAGGAAAGCGTGCCGCAAAGCGGGTCGCAAACAACCAGCAGCAATTTCGATGCAGAGGGCCAGGAAGTCAGCAGCACGCGTATGAGAACGACCTAGGTCATATCAAGGCCCAGGGCATGGTCATTTTGGGACAGGGATTTGGGGGGTTAGGGTTTAGGGTTGGGGTTTCGGATGCAAGGTTTAGGGTTTAGGGTTTTTCCTGGCAAGGCCGTTGAGGATCCGGTGCTTAGAGCACATACCCCCACTGGCACAGAATCCGGCAAGAAGACAGAGCACCACAGCTGACTCAGTACTGTAGACAGCGATAAACACGCCCCGCTATTCAGGTTATTCTCAAAACTATGGGCTCCTTGGGTGATAGATTATATTACGGCACCTCACATTTAGCCAAAATGGGACTCTAACTTTGGGAACTACCCACTTCCCTTCTGGCAGGCAAGGGGCATCAAACTGGCGGAAGAATATGACTTCTGCCTCAAGGGCCGCGGTCAAGAGGACGTAGCGCCAGAAGTTCCTGTGCTTTTGCACTGTGCCTGGGCTGCGTGAAGCCTTATATAAGATGTGTAGGTTTAGGCCCTTTAGGGTTAATAGGGTTTAGGTATAAATTCAGAGTGCATTTCATGTTCCATCTTCTTTTACATTTGAATTTCCTATACTCCCCGATGTAATCCCCATACAACCCCCCTTTAAAGAGTTTAGATTATGGCTCATGTAACCCAAAACCCTAAAGCCTAAACCCTAAATAGAAGTTTCCATGTTCTATTCCATTATCCCCACATAACCTCTAAACCCTAAACCCTATATGATCCCCTATAGAACGCCTTTTAAGGAGTTGTTCTCGCAGGCGGGTAACGAGGGCTGGGATCTTTGGGTTTGGATTTGTTGGATGTAAACGTTCAAGGGCACCTCTCCTTACTGGTGGTTAGTAGGGAATACGGGAATGTACTATATGGGGATTATCTTTCCTCTTTCCCTACTAGGCACCAGTAAGTCTCAGAATGAGAATCCCGACTAGCATGCCATGGCTAAAGCCTGCAAAAATCCATATAGCCGTGGTAATGATGTTAAGAATAAGAATGATAACCATAGTAAGTTCGTAAGAATCATAGTAATCCGAAATTCTTTGTAATAACCATGATAGTCATCATAAAAAAATAGCCCACAATCTTTGTACTTTCTAGCGAATCTTTCGCCCGGGCGCGGAGGAAGGGCCGCAGGCGCTGCCACAGCGATTCGCTTTGGCGGCCACGGCTTGGTTTGGACGTCAAAGCAGACTTTCGGAGGCCACGAACTGCCAGCGCTGTGGTTGCTACAGAAAGGAGGCAAACAAAGGCCAGGTAGCTCCTGAAGGGCGCACATGGTTTAGGGTTAAGGGCTTAGGGAGGCAGACAAAGGCCAAATAGCTCCTGAAAGGCCCACATTTTGAGGGCTTTGCATCCCAGAGCAGGTAGGCACAGGCCATGACGAGCCACTCGAGACACCCAAAGAGGGAGTTTATCCGCTGGATCTGAATGCGCTGGCGATCTTCTTCTGTCTGCTCGATAATCACAAGGCCGTTCACGGCGCTTGCCACGGCCGCAAAGCCATCTGAGGAGCTGATGGCAAGCGCATATTGGAGCCAAACGGGCAGAGCCCAGAAGTCTTGAAAGGTGAGCCAGGAGGCTGCTGCATAGCCCACGTTGGCCCACAAGGCCAGCTGGAGCCGGGAGCCGCAGCCACGTGCGACAAATTCATCAACCAGCAAACCAGCAAAAATGTCATTCAGCGGGTTCCATATGGAGAAGAAGCTATGTACAGCAGCGACTTCCAGGGCAGTGAGGCCACGCTGCATGAAGAAGTCCATGTGAAAAGTTCCGAACATCATGGAATGAACGCAGCCCAGCGTGGTGAGGAGGTTAAACCACACCCCTTGGAGCAGCCACTCATCGTCGATAAAGGCCCGGGTGAAGAGTCGCAGCATGCTTTGGCGAGAGCCGTACGCCAGCCGCCCGCGAGCCGCGTGCATGATCACGAAGTTATGTCTGTTCAGGCAACCTGCTACCTCCTTTTTGGGGGTTATAGAGGGATAATGGAAAAGAAAATGGAAACTATATGAATTATAGGGGTTATATAGGGGTTATATACAGGTATTGGGGTTATATTGGGGTTATATAGGGATAATGGAAAAGAAAATGGAAACTACTATATTATAGTAGGGTATATATTCAGGTTATAGTCCCCCTTAAGTAGATAGAATATTAGGCTTATGTCATATTGGGGTTATATTGGGATAATGGAAAAGAAAATGGAAACTACTATAATGGGTTATATAAGGACATATAAGGTTTAGGGTTTAGGGCCCCTTAAGTAGATAGAGTATGGGGTTATGGGGATATTATTGTTATAATATACCCAAAGCCATATTCTATCTACTTAAGAGGGGGACTGTAGCATTGAAACAAAGAATCTAGCTGATTGATTGGCTACCTCATACTTTGATGATTGGCAGTTCTAATACAAGGACGTTCGCTATGTCCACGCATGTACTACTTTCTCCGGCATCCACACACATCGAAGGCCCCTGTATCCTCGTACCGGCAAACTTGCCTGTCATTCAATCGGCTCGAGCAAAAGCAGGCGTACAGCAACATATGTAGCCAGCGAGCCCAGTTTCCATGAACAATAAAAGTGCTTAAACCCTGTTACGGATCCTAGCGTCACTGAAGATCGTTGCATCTATGTTCCTCGATTAAGGGGTATAATTGGGCTCTGTCGAAAGAGAACGCATGATACCATCGAGACCAACAATTTGTCCGGCATTCGCGTGTTGAGGAGGCCCGTCGTTCTTCATCATGTAAGAAAACGGTCACAATAAAGTACGTATGATAATCGTGAGAAAAAGCTATATACAAATGCATAGCAATGCAATATGGGATCCCTTTTCTTCTAAGACTCTAAGATCTGCCGGCAGAATGGCTTCACCCCCGAGGCAACCGCCCAAAGAAGTGCCCCGGGCAGCGGGATGAGCGCCACCCCAATGGACATGATTGTGACCACCAGCACCACGCCTTGCCATGCAGCCAAAAGCGGCTAGGGTTCAGGCTTTAGGGCTTTCAGTGGGGTTTACGATTCGGGGTAAGGGTTTAGGGTTTAGGGTTCGGGGTCGGTGGGGGGGTCTCAAAGTAGGTGTACCCCTCGTGCCTTTAAGTGATAAGCATTCGAAGGTTTAAGGGTTTAGGGTTTGGGTTGTAAGGCCCCTCAAAAAAGTAAAACGGCATCCCTATGATAATGATGTCAGCTGAGCCTCAATCGGCCACCCAAATCATCACCCAACTCCGGAATTCAGTCCCGATACTCGGTTTTCAAACTGATGTTGCAATCGTGAATTTGTTCTGGGTCTTGGTACAATAAGAAACACAATTGCCACATATTTGGTTTCAATATGGCAAACATTCTCGACATCATCCACCAAGCACAAAACCCTAAACCCTAGGCCCAGCGAAAAGCGCCTCCCAGCTTCTGGAAGATGGTCAGCGTGCAGAAGAGCAGGAATATGGAGCAGCCCGCCGTTGTCGCGGCACTCCTACAATGATTCTGGCTGTTTCTTGAGCTCCCTAAACCCGCAACGTAAATCTTAAAACCTATACAAGCTATATCCTAAACTAAACCCTAAACTCTAGACCCTAACTAAACCCTGAACCCTAGACCCTAAATCTGAGGTCCTAATCTAACCCTGAGCCTAACATGTGGGCCCCCTAGCTGTTCCCTGGCTTACTTGGGTGTGTAGGGCTTTATAAGGTATGTATGTAATACTTATGTAAGTATCTCGAGGATTAAGGGCCCATACTAGGGGGGCAAGGTAGTCACCCTAAACCCCAACCCCCTAATTTAGGGTTTTGGGTTTAGGGCTTACAAAGCTTAAGGCCTGTCCAGGGATTGCACGGCACCTTTATACAAAAATATGTACGGATATGCATCCCGAGATATAGGGCTTCATACGGATTTATATAGGGATACAGAGGGATATGGAGGGATATGGAGGGATGTCCGTAGGAATCCCTGGGGATACATTGCAATCTATATAGGGATATCTAAGGCGTCCGAAAAGGCCCCAGTCAGGAAAGGGCTACCAGAAGCACCACTTGCACGTTTTACGCTGGGGAATACCATGCTAAGGCAGGTTTGGGGGGGTCGTATCTTAGAAATGCTTTGTGGCTTCATAGGGATTATGTAGAAATCAAGGCTTTTACAAATCCAAAGCCGTGTTCAAGCTACCCTGTGAAGGCAGTATAGGATTATGTTGTTGTGACTTCTGGCAGCGGCGATGACTTCACCCTAAACCCTAAATCCTCAGGCTTCGATGTGGTTGGGGACCCGCAATGTTGAATGAACACAGTTTCCCATGATGTTGGTGAATTATGTAGGTTTATGAAATACGGTTTCTATAAGCCCCCTGTATAAACAGAGCCTCCAATTCACCATCTAAGCTCTTTTCCATCTGATTCCCCATAATTTCGGGTAACTATTTAGGTCCCACATGGTGATATCCTAGGTGCAAGGTTTGACTTCCTCCCTCCTCCCCAAAAATCCACCCCTAAACCCTAAACTGGGCTGCTGTTAAGGAACTGAATTTAAGCTACTATATTGGGGCAACCTTATTATCTGCTACATACACCCATTATGGTAACTTAAGTTAAGTTCCCTCACCGCAACCCAGTAAACTCTAAACCACATGAGCCTGTTTGAGGTGAAGTCAGCTGAGCTCCACACCCCAGGGCAGCGCGGCCTATCGAGCCCAGCGCGAAGACGGTGCGCACGAAGCGCACGATGTCCGGGTCCCTGAGGTTGAGGTAAAAATCCCAATGCCAGAGATAATAAGTTAGGAGGACCCCCCACCCTGTAATAGTGGTATAATTAATAGGAATATAATTAGTAGGACCCCAATATAATCCTTATTATCCCTTATAATCGCTATTAATTACAGGGTGAGGGGTCCACCTAAATAAAAAAGTCACCAATCATTACCACACAGGGGTTATGTAGGGCTATGTGGGGCTGTATAGGAATAGAGGCTGAACTTCTTATTGGGTAGAGTGGGTACTTCTGGATTCTTCCGAGTGTGGAGTTTCGAAGCCTTGGATTTCCGTCTTAGAGCAAGGAAGGGCCGAGTGCATGGCGAAACGTCCGCGAGCGCCTCCTGAGAGTCCGCGCTGCCATACCTGTCATAGAATTATAGCCCCCCTTAAGTAAATAGAATATGGCTTTGGGTATATAATAATAAGATTCCCATATACCCCATACTCTATCTACTTAAGGGGGACTATAGGGCTATATTGGGGTTATATTAAGGTTACATTCGGGTAATATAAGGGTTATATAAGGGTTATATATGGGTTATAGAAGCCAAGTAAGAGTTTTCCAACTTTTTGGGGTTCTGCATAAATGGACTCGAGAAATTACAGTACTTTGGGGGGCGTTATTGGGGGCCTCATGTCTGCTTTCAATGAAACGATTGAAGGCTGCCTGTACACGCATTCTGCAGGTGAGACGGGCCTGTGAGCGATGTGGAGGGAGTAGGTCACTGCCTTGGCGAGGGCAAAACAATGGCAATAACCGGGGCTTGGGGCATTAGGGTGTTTCAGGCACTTTAGGGTTTAGTGCCTCTCAGGGTTTGGGTTTCAAACAGTCTGAGCTTTAGGCGTAGCCGATGAACACGATGAGCGCGATCACTTCGATTGGACCAATCCTGGTGCAAATCCAGGCTGTGGAGCAACCCTAAACCCTAAACCCTCAGCATTCGCTTTAGATTACGCTATTGGGGACCTACAACCCCTTATTTGGGTATTTGGACCCTAAGGGTGATGCTCAACCACAAGTAACAAAGTAGTTTCCTTTTCATTTTCCATTTCCATTCCATTTGACTCTCCATTATCGGCGGATAACATCCATAAAGCCTCTTATCCCTAAATTCCAAAAGCCCAAAAACCCAAATCCTAAACCCCCGAAACCCTAAACCCTGTTGAGTAGCGTTTTTTTGTGGTTAAACCCAGTAAGATTCTATTCCCTATTTAAAATACTATACCCCAAAAAGAGGATGGAATCTTACTCTATATTGGGTACCATAATATCCCCAAATAAAATACTACTCTGTTGTGTACTCGGACCCTTACAACAAGTCTGAGGGCCCCCACGGCCAGCCCATGACAATCACGATGAACCATGCCAGGGCAAAAATCACCTGCGACGCGGTTTCGGGCTTGGAGGTTTGGGATTTTCGGGGTTTTAGGGCTTTAGGGGTTTTAGGGTTTTAGGGGTTTTAGGGTTTTAGGGTTTTAGGGGTTTAGGGGTTTTAGGGGTTTAGGGGTTTTCGGGGTTTAGGGGTTTTAGGGGTTTTAGGGTTTAGGGGCTTCGGGTCTAGGTTTAGGGCGGCACGTGAGCTGGCAGGTGGTGCGAAGAAGTAAAAAAGATAATGCAATCCACTAGCAAGTTTTGGGAGGTTCCATTTTTTTTCAAAACATGGCCCCCTTTTTGCAGATCATAGCAATTTGGGATCTATTTAGGGGCGCCCTACTTATCGAAACTCCAAATCAAATCACGTCTTGAAGATATTGAAGATATGTGTGGAATCCTCAGGAACGGCCATGACCCTTCGTTGGGATCTTGACTGTCCCCATTTAGTTACAATTTGTTGCTCAAAATACCTTTTCCTCCCCAACATTTTTGCAAAGGAGGGTCAGTTGTTGGTTAGGATCTCCCTTTGAGGAAGTGTATTCCCACTGCTCCCTTGCTTACAAGGACATTTAAACCAACCCTACGAGGAGGAGAAACCTAGAGCTAGGCAGCTCAACCCACCTTCACATATGCAGGTGTGTTCGACTGTTCTGTCTGAAAGGTGCCGGGATACGAGCCAACGGTGAGGATATGTTGCCAGTGTAGGCGCTTTCAGACGCCAAGACACTGCGTATATGGGTCACTACTTTC